GGTCTTACAAAAGGATATCAATGGATTGAATTGAAATTGGTACACATCAAACATACAAGCAGCATAATATTTTTTAATTCCAATGACATGAATTCACCGTGATCATAAATCATTATTAACTTGGAGGACATAGTTCTGCTGTGGTTGGCATCGAGGCTGGGACAAATAGAATTTTCCAAAACAAGTCTTTTTTCAGTTTTGTGAAGATACCTTTCCTTGCATGAACCTTCAATGGTCAGTTACAATGGATTTGTAAATAATTTAAATTTATACTGACAGTGATAATTAATTAAAAAGTCATTTAAATCATTTATGTAATGAAAATCACCAGCTTAGGAAATGAGTGAATTGTTTACCATTCTCATCCCTGCACTTTGGACAGCAGTGATTATTGTCATGAAGGAGATCCTTACACTGAGGATCTCTTTCACACATCTGCACTGCACAAGCTGCCTTGCCACTTTTACCACAATAACACGTTGTACACTGGTCCAACTGCCAACTCTGACCCACCAGGTAATACTGTCCTGAACGAATGTCCCGGCACACATCTCGCTTCTGTCCATGATTAATGCTCACTTTGAAAGAAAGCAGCATATTTGATTATCATCTCTGTGAGTATTATCTTTGCCCATGTGACATCTTGGCAAGATTTACGAGATCCTGAGGACATCTGTTGGGTGACAGGGGAATCTTAACAAGACGGTTTTTACAATCTTGTTAAGCATACAGAGAATCTTAATGATTGGTGACTATTCTTAAGACTATAAGATAACCTCACCAAGAGGTATTCAGTGGCCTTTTGGTTTTTGTGGGTTAAGTATATTAGTCCATGAAAGTCTTGCAACACAAGAACAAGCAAAACCTACTCTCCAAGTCAGATCAACCAGGTATACAAAGTTTCTTAAGGCGCTCTTCGTGCAAACAAAGGTGAATAGAAAGTTACAACATACAAAACAATATCGAAATACATGTAACAACACACCTAACACAGTGTCCAGTTTATTCTCTGCAAAAGCTTTGATGACATCTAAAAAAGCAGGTGACCAAAATCAGTAACAAATAATCAAGTAGAAGGCTGGATATGACACTATTTCTGGATGACCGTTAGAATTTATTGCAAACTAGAGAAGCATGCATAATTGACTATAATTGAATACAAATGAATAATTGAAAGCTGGCGTAAATAATAACAATGCAAAAGCATAAGCATTAAATTGGCATCATGTTTATCTTTTAAGATGTTTTAAGGTACTCAGGTCTTTAATATTAGAGGGTAGAAGCCAACCAAAAATTATTATTAATAGCATGTACTTGACCATTTCCCTTCCAGGCTTACCCAAAAATCCTTTCATAAACCTACATTATTGAACAGGACTTATTCAGTAAAGTGCCCCTGATACAGTTGATCAGTTAGTTTGGAAAATTGCTTATTATTATCACAATGGTCACTCAAAATAGTTTTTCTTAAGTGGTAAGTACCCTCGAGGAATATCTGTCTATGAAATACTCGTACATAAGAAGTAAATCAAAGGTAATCACTTTATAAATTGATGAGAAACTCGTTTCGTTACCTGCTTCATTATGCCCCGAGGTGCTTGAGTCACCCAATGGGCAAACAGGACAGCACTGGCCCTTAATATACAAAGGTTCTTTACAGTCTGGGTGACGACATACTGTAGCCAAGCACTCAGGGGTGCCATTACGACAAATGCAGACCGTACAGTCATTTGGCTCCCAAGATTCTGCCTCACCATAAAACTTGTTGCTTGGTGAATCATGACATTTTGCTGGTGTGATTAAAGACAAAATTAGTATGGTTTGAACCCAGGTTTACCCGTCATTCGTGGGCCTAATGTGATAGTCACAGCAATTAAGCATACATGCCCACAGTTGTGAAGTTGACTGTTGACAATGGTTGTCAAGGGTAATGCTGTTTATTATATATAACTTATCAGATGTTTTGGTGTGTGGTATCGCTGTATATTTTTACCAGGCTCGTCAAAATACAAACAACGAGTAAAAATATAGAGCGATACTACAACCAAAACATCCGATAAGTTATATATATACACATGTGATGCTCACTACCTCTGTCTTGATGTTTGTTTTATTGTTTCTTGAGTCAGTGATGACACCATTGTTCTTCTTTTAATTACCAAATAAGGTGTCAATCACAAGATCACGAACGTATCAATCACAAAATCATCTAAATGTGACATATCGTAACATTTCCCTTCTCATACAAAAGAATAATAAAAACATAAAACTTCACCTGAGCTGTAACCAACATGATTAATGTTCAACAACAACAACAAAAGAAAAGCTTCGAATTGATAATATAAACCTGTCTCAAAATATTCAAATGTCTCTCTAAAAGAAAAAAGCTGCTAGCATCTGGGTGTAACTGATCAACACTAAAGTGTTAGTCTTAGGTCTTGATTAAGTATCGCATAGCATCGCGAGGGAGGTTTGACAACCCCTGTCCTGGTCTTAGTAACTTTCAGTAGAGTTGCTGCAAAAGGTGTCTTCTCTTGTGATGCGGTAATACTATGAGGCTTTACAGATTGCTGTAAAGCAGGTGACATGGCAATTACAGCTCTAGTGAGGCTTGAATTACTTCATTAACAGAATTCGAGGGTGGTATTGGGTGTGACATCGCAGACAGCGTCGGTGGTGGTGCAGGCTTCAGGCTTTGTCGTTTCCTACGTACTGTTTCTTTTGAAGTCTGCACCCAGTAAGAACAGTCAGAAAGCTTCTGCACACACGTTGCACTCTTCTTTGACTTGTTCCACTCTGTTGGGGAAACCCTTACTTCCTGTCCAACTTCTATCTCTGGCAATATTTTAGCTGTGCGATCATGATAGCACTTGGCCTTCTGTTTGATCTGCTCGTTAACTCCTTCTACAACCTTTGGGTGGAGTAGGCTGGTGGCGGTTGGCTGCAAAGTTTGTGTTCTACGAGACATCAGTCTCTAAGCAGGACTGGAATATTCATCTCTTCTGTGGGCCTGTTCAATAAATGACCAGAGCTGACCAGGGATCTCAACCATCGTTGAGGGCTTTCTTAGAGACGTTCTTCACTACACAAACCACAGACTCCGATTGGCTGTTGGACTTAGGGTAGTGCAGAGAGGAAGTTACACGCTTGAACTCCCAGTCGGTGGCAAATTGTATGAACTCTTCGCTGACAATCTGTGAACCGTTCTCTGTCATTAGACAATCAGGGATGCCATTACAGAACTTGCTGAGGTGTCCGGCAACTCGCTGACTTCAAGAAAGTTAGAGTAGTAGTCCACAAGTACAATGTAACTTCTGCCTTAAAGACTGAAGAGGTCAGCTGCTTGGCTACTCCAGGGACAGTCTGGTATTTCATGTGTTTGTAATGGCTGTCAGGGATTGCGAGCTTAAAAATCTGCACAGATCTGACAGTTGGTGATCCTTTCTTTGATGTCATTGCTCATTCCTGGCCGAAATACAAAATCTCTGGCTTTCCTCAGACAGGACTCTGCACCCAGGTGACTAGAGTGAATTCTGGACAGAATCTCTGCTCGTAACAGCTTTGGAACAATAACTCGGTGATTCTTGAAGAGTACACCATTGTGTACAGAGATCTCATCTTGATAGAGCCAATACTCTCTGACATGCATAGGCACTTGTTTTCTTAGCTCTGGCTATCCTGTGATGACTGTAGTCTTAATTAAGTGCCATGTGGACTGGGTATTGTGCTGTACATGTTTGCAATTGGACTAATCTCTCGGGTGACAACTTGATAGCATCAAAGGGGCTCAGCTTCTCTAACTCTGTTGTGAACACTTGACATTCATCCAGATTCTTAGCCTGCAAACAGGCTCCCGGCAAGGATGGAAAAAAACTTTCGGCGAGCAAAACGGAAGAATTCGGAGAGCAAAGCGATCGGGGCGGGGACAGGGGAGCCTGTAGACTTTGTTTTTGAAGTGTCTATCCGCCCTTGGTGATAAGCCTGTAACAAATCAGTCAATGAGGTAATTAGACCTGTCAAGAATCTACATTTTCGGTACTTGCAAACAGTTCTAATCGAGCTAATCAAATAGCCGGGCCAGGTGTCATAATATAGAGTGCAAGTAAGCAACATGTTCACGGAATATTTCAAACACTTTGTCCCTCCAGAACCAATACTTAGAGAGCTTAAAACAGATTTTGTAATACTGAAATGAGTCTAAAGAAATTATAAGCACATGATAGAGGTGTCAAACTCTGCGAAGTGACAAGCAGATAACAGCGGAAAGTCCGGAAACCATGCCTTTGACCTCTAAAAAAATTGGTATAGCACCGCCAAACGGCTCCACGCCACTAGCTTCTATTTAATATTCCTTCTCGTAACAGAGCATAAAGTACCCTTCAGAATCACTTGTGAAATAACGAGAGGTTGAGAGACTGAAACTTAAAAGAGAACTGCAAATGCACTATTGTAATGAACTGTTGGAGTTGTATAATTTTACAAAGATCTGTCAAATATTCATCTCAAAGACGTCAACAATCAGCGATTTAACCAATCATATCATAATACCAGGAGCTGGTATCATAGAACAGCGGCATCAATAGAATGTCTACAGGCTCCCTCGCTTCGTTCAGGCTCACCGGGAGCCTGTTCGCAGGCTACCAGATTCTCATCTTCTTTCTCTTTGGCAATCATAGGTCAAGAGAGGTGATCTGCCAAGAATATCTGGATTCCTTTCTTGTAGCGGACATCAAGGTTCTAGTGCAACAGTCGTAATAACATCCTTTGAAGTCGGCATGGCACTGAGAGAATAGGCTTCTTGAAAATGGCCTGAAGTGGTTTGTAATCTGATTCAACCATGATTTTGTCCTTTCTGGCCAGATATTAATCAAAACACTGACATCCAAACACAATAGCTAGGCATTTCTTAATTTGTGCATAATTTCATTCAGCGTGTGACAGTGCGTGTGACGCAAACACTACTGGCTGACCATCTTGCTGCACTGCAGTGTGACCTCAGCGTCAGGGTCCTAAAACATCAACACTGGTTGATTAATCACTAACTGTTTGATGTCTGTGAAAGCTGAACTATGTTGAGGTGACCAGAGGAACTGCGCTTCTTTGTTTCTCAATTCACACAATGGTCGAGCTACCTCTGTAAGCCATGGTAGAAATTTTGACAGATAGTTCATGTAACCCAGAAGGGTCGCTAGTTCCTTCCTGCAGGTTGGTCTAGGCATTTCTTCAATGGCTTTCACCTTTTTTGGATCCGTTTTTAAACCTTGGTTGGTGATGACATGTCCCATGAATTTTACTTCTGGCTGTCTGTTCTTAATTTTGGAATTGTTCAGCCTCAGGTTGTTTCTCTCGCTCTTTGGAGAAGTCAGGTAAAATTGCTGTCATGGTCTATTATGGCTTTTTCTTGAGTCTCTCCGCATCCCATGACCAGAACATCATCTCGCAAGACCACTACTCCTGGAAGGTCATCTCACCTCTTGTGGAGCTTGCATTCAAATTCTTCTGGCGCAAGGCTTACTCCAAACGGCACTCTCAGGTATTAAAATTGACCAAAGAAGGTCCAGTATGCGGTTTTAATGCTACTTTCCTCGTCAAGGCTGATCTGGTAAAAACCATCTTTGGCATCCAACATGGAAAATAACTTTGCATTTGCTAGTTGGGGAAGGATTTCATCTAATGTGGGCATTTGGTACTTGGGTTGTTTCAAGGCTTTGTTTAAGTTTTGAGGATCTAAGCAGATTCTTATCTTGCAGGCTTTGCTACAATAACCATTACATGCTGCCTATCCATTCAGTAGGAGCCATGACCTTCTTGATGATGCCTCTCTCTCAAGATCCAGCTACTTGTCTTTAAGCTCTCCTCATAGGGAGACAGGAACATGTCTGGGTGTGTGTTGGACCGGTTTCACTATTTCGTCTGTCACAAATGTGGAGTCACCAAGGTGACCTAATTCTTCAAAAACATCGTTGTAAGTGTTTAAGATAGCATTTTTGGTGACAGGGGGTTAGCTGAAATTCCCACGGCATGCAAATCTTGTGGTACGTTCAAGTTGAATTGCACTAGGCCTACCCCTCCGCATGATTCAGCTGACAAGAGGGGCTTTTTTGGGCTGTCCACTACTTGAAACTTTAGGGTGTGGTAGCTGCCATTGTGTTCTGCTCTCAAACACGTTTCCCTTGTGGGTCTCATGATTGAGGCATCATACATCTTGAGCTTGACTGAACTCTGTCCTAATTTAGGAGTTCCGCTCTGCTAAAGAATTAAGAGGTCGTGATAACTGATCACATTGCATGAGGCTCTGGTGTCCAGCTGGCAAACCATGAATTTCTTGTATTTAACGTGGTCTGCGGCCTCTATGCAGAAAGTCAACTTAGTAAGACCTTGCTTGCCTTTACCAGTGTAGGTTGACAGTGTTTCCACTTGAAGCACTGAGGGATCTGAGTCACAGTCGTCTTCGTCAAAGACAATATATTATTCATATTCCCACATGGGAAAACAAGAAAAACGTTTATTACAGAGACAGACAAGCAACAGTTTTGAAGTGAGTTATGGGTTTACCAAATGTTCTAGGGGGTTGGGTATGGGGCTCTGCTTGTGGGCTTGTCCCCCACAACAGCTTTGCTGTAAAAAAATTCACCCCTCCAACAAAAATTAGTTCTTAGGCTTTACATCTGTCATAGCTTTTGATTGATATATTTTAAACACACGCTAAAGCACAACAAGGAACCAGGGGAATATTGCAATATAATATAAATTGTTATCGTAATTGTTAGCTTAAAACATCAGTCTTAAGGAACAAGGCTCTCCACACCTCTTGTTGTTCAAAAACATCTCCATATTCTTTGTGCAAAGAGTTTTAAGTGTCCATCCCCACTCCACTTAAAAATTCCAGTCTGGCTCTTTATGTTCCTTCAGTGAGTTAATGATGAGACCGCTCCAATTGCAGGACCACCCATGCATTAAAAAAAAACCCTTCTGCAGTTACAGTATGTTTACCTATGTGAGGCCTTCTTGTTGGCAAAGTTGTTGGTGTCTTCACTTGCTTCTGTTCTGTGGATATTAATTTTGTTATCAGACTATGCAATATAACAAAAATGTTAGTAATACCTAGATCATAAGTTAGAAGTTATAAAGAAAATGTTTATTAAAGGCATCAGACACCTGTTGAACTGTCCTGTGTAACAGAATTCTAATCTCTGTGTTTCACTTTTTGCTAGATCCCAGAGAGGTCAATCTTTTAGCTCCATGCAAAAAGAGCCTCGTATGTGTGATGTTTTGCAATAATTAATCACAAGCTTAGTTCATGAAGAGAACTTTGTTCTTAGTTTGAGATGGACTACATCCCATTCAAACTCAGGAGTCGATTACAAATAAACAAGAAGATCTGTTAGATCTTATAACCACACTTTAAAAATGAAACGGTTCGCTTAGCACTACCGTCGGAACGCAGTGCACATTCCAAAGCAGTCATTGATGATTCTTTTCTTACTGTAGACATCACAT